ACTCAATTCAAAATGCCGAGAGCTCCGTTCATCATGTTCAGAAATACACTTGTAATGAAGTCCGCTCCTTGCACGAGCCAAATCACGTGCGAGTCACAAGAAGTCGTTTACACGGTGGTAACTTGGTGGACGAGGAACCGCGCGCGAGAGCGAAGGAGAGAGAGAGAGAGAGAGAGAGAGAGAGAGAGAGAGAGAAGGAGCGTGCAATTGGTAGTTAATTTCATTTCGGTACCCTCGCATCGTCGCATCATTAGTTTTGTCGTCTAGAACCAATAATTAACCGGTGCAGCGAGACAGGCTACAAATAGGGCAGCCTCTCACAGTTGCTACACACATGGATGTTCCTATGCGAGCGGCAATTGGTGCGACAAGAGTCGGCGAATTGCGACACCACCTTGTCGGAGTAATGAGCTATCGTCGATGTGCCGTTGACTACGCTGCACAAGCCACATCGAAAAGAGAGGACATCGAGCCCCAAAGGCTCTCCACGAAAGGCAACGAGTGCACTGGACCGTTTTAGAGTCCGAACACCAGGGATCTAAAAGTGAAGAAAGTGAGGTATGACGCGCGGATCCGGTGAGCGAGTGCACGTCACATTGTCGATAGTTTAGCTATCGGTCATTTCTGTCTCTCACATTGAGCAAATTACGCAGCGTTTGCGTCCGGTCTGGATCTCGAGTGTACCGCTTTGTAGCGTCGCTCTCTGGACGCCGTTTTGTTTATAGAATAAACAAAAGATCACGGTCGACACCGATTCGAATTCACTTGCCCGGCGTCCTTCCCGTTCCTTTACCCAATATCTTATAAGGCGTGCGCGAGGGCTCAATAAGTACGCGCGCGATCACTTTATAAGATCGCGGCTACTTTGTCTTCTGCAGCTAAGAGGTTCCTTACAAAAATCTCTCACGCATCTACTCGACACATCGTCAGGCCTCCGGGGCTGCGGCAGGAGGCAGATAAGCCCGTTACACACTTCACGGATATAATTAATACTTATAAAATCAGAAGAGATTCAAAATTTTTTAGAGAGAGGAATGTTGTCATGAAGTTTTACGATATACAGCAATGTCATATTGGAAGTCTGAGCCATCCGAAAGGGAGACCAAATGTTACATCGCTATAAATGCCGTACATAAATGGATAGAAGTGGAGAAAAAGGAGAAGAAAGTGACTAAAAGGAAAACTAAAATGAAAAAAAATCTTCAAAAAAGAGTCGATATAATAACATACGCCACATTAAGGCAAAAGTTGTATCAAACAAAGTTGAAAAAACAAGTAACAAAAGGAAAACTAAATCGAATAAAACTTTACGCGCGCGTGTGTGTGTGTGTATTCTTCATAAAAAAGGTGTAAAAATATTATTTTGTTTCTTTTGGAACTTTCTTGAACAAACACCAACTATTCATTTGCAGTTTCAATTACAAATTTTATTAAATGTGAAAATATTTTTTTAATTTTTTATCTCCATAAAAAAGCAAAAATCGGAAACCGAACTTATATACATTTGAAGGTATTGAAACGAAGAATGTGTAAAAAAAATATGAGTCAAAAAAATGGCCTTTTCGAGATATATCAACTTTTTTACAAAATGCATTTTTTCGAAAAATGCATAATTTTCCATGAAATGCACTTATACATATTTTTCATTACATAAATTTGAAAGGTTTACATTGTACTATAACATGAAAAAGATTTTATCTAATTGCGACTAATATTAAACAAAGAACAGAGATTCAAAATTAGTATTTCAAAATTCCAAATTCATAGTATGGAGTGATTCGCACATGGATGCCCAATTGGCTGCGCATGATTTGAGACGGAATCAGTCTTATATCAATTTAATTTAATCAAGATTTATCTATTTTTCTTATTTGTAACAAGCTTATAGCAAGTTAGCATGTTTTAGATGTCTGTAGAGAGAGTTCGATTGAAGATTATTATCTGAATTTTAGATTGATGGTGTCAGAATATAAAAAAAGTTATCTACATATAAATCTTTAAAAAAAAATAAAGTTGATTTAAAAATAACCTTAAACATAGCCTCCAACAACAAGGTTAACGGCAAGGTCATAGGGACACGTCTCCTTCGAAGTTGAGCAACTTTCATCCGAAGCGGTTTTCGCTAATTCCCATAGTAACCGCAAAAACTCACTGAGGCGATTAAACTGGCATATCCTGTATATCCAAACATTATACACTGCCCTTCAAGAAAACATTCCAACATTCCGCCAATACAATCAGTAACATTTTTGAGATTGCTTTCTATTTCGATAACATTTAGTAGTGCCGCACTTAAATCATTCTGGTTATACATTCCTAGTCGGATATCCTGTTGCAAACCCTTATTAGAATTTACTACTGCGGCTGCATTGATGAAATTTTCAAAGTCGGAGTATTTTCCGTCAGTCATATCTGTTTTTAGTCTTTTCAAATTTTTTATTTGTAAAACTAAATTTTGTAATTTATTAATATAACTTGAGACTGGTTCGTTTTGTTTTTAAACAATTTCGCTAAAAAATAGATTTATATAATATAATATTATTATATCATATAAAAATATAATAATAAATATTTCTGTAAAGCCGACTTTTGACCCAAATTAGATTTTAGCCAAAATATTCGAAAAAAATTCCAACAGTATCTACTTAAAAAATGAAGTCAACTTTACTTTAAAAAGGCTAGCTCCAACTTTCTTATTCACCCCAACTATCTCTTCAAAAAATGAAAACTTTATTGCTTATATAAAGCGTTTTTGGAAAGATTTGATACAGATCGAAAAACATTTAAAGGTCAAGCTCCAAAAAAGCAGATAAAAAATTCTAAAAAATGCGTATAGCCGTTTTTTGGAATTTCAATCCGACTTTAAAGTTTGTTCAATAGCTCATTCTCAAGTGAAGTTAACTTCGCAGCCAATTCGAAATTATTTTGTGGTAGAATTGAAAAAATATCTTGTATTTTTTTTTCACTCATAATCTAGTAACCTAGTCATATAGTTGCAACCAGGGCACCCGTACGTAGTGACAATGGATGACGGAGTTATCTCACTATCCAACAAAGCCCCTGGATAACAACGACTATACTACTATGGTAACTACACGAAATAATTTACCTATCCTCTATCTCCACTCCTGTAAAGATCACAATATCACCTTAATGGATTATAATTTTCCCTAAACTGAATATAGCGTTCTCAAAAACGCACTTGTACAGAAACACGACAAACAATCGGTCAAAATTAATATTAATAACAGTGCAAGGAGATGGGTGTCACTAGATAGAAAAAGTGCCAAGACGAAGTCTCGACATAATGTAAAGGAGAAGTCAGTTTTAAAAATAGCGATTTTAACTACTTTTTGTAATATAATGAATATATGATATAACAATGTTATAAATAATGAATATCGTTATCATTTACCGTGACGTTTAATTGCCGTTTTCACGCTATATTCTCTTTTGATTTTGTAATATATATAAATATATTTGTAATATATTTGTAATATTTGTAATGTATCCATGTAATCTATACCTATATTCTATGAAAAATTCTAATGCTGAATCATTGTCGTGTCTTTCAAATCGATCAGTCTTTTCAAATTTAAGATGACGTTCAACTGTTTTTATCGATACCTTGTATTTTTTGTTATTGCTATTTTTAAAGCTAATGCGATCGTCAGATACGTCATAATCAATACTTAGGACAAGTTTGGAAGCTCTTCTCTTCTTAGTTAAGATAGAGGTAACTTTAACAGGTATACATTTCCTGCCATAGTTAACTGCTTTGACACTTTTTGACGCGGTCTTCCACCTTTGCCATTATTTTCCATTATTTGCACAACTGTCAAATCTACCAGCAGATAAAAGTGGAGCAGAGGATTCCTGTTGAACTGATAGGGAAATATGTTTTATCCCGCCCCTGAGAAATGGTCTCTGGAGATGTCATAGGTCCACCTCTGAAATCGACCCAAGGATACTAACACTTGCTAATATTTATAGACATTTTTACGCGTTGGATAAGGTGTATAATAGTACAGAAAACAAACGTACAAAACGTTAAGCGCGAGTTTAATGAGCGAATTTTCATGCACTCCGTTCTCTCTAAAGAGTAATCCAACGGAAGGGATGAATTGAACGATCAAAACAATAATCACGGCGTTTATCGAGGAAAAGCATATGATTAACTTACCGAAGAAGAAGCCTCAGGCTAATTCCTATTACACTGAAATTAAAAATCAACTATTGCGTATACACGAGACTTTGGCGGTACAGCTTCCACTAGACGAAGGGATGGTCAGCGAACAATCTTCTAAGGTCCGTTATTGGGCGGTCCTCTGAAAGGAATGGGTATCGCTCGAGGCAACTGCAGGAGAGGCTCGCCACTCCAGGATCGCGACTTCTAAAACCGAAGACCAATCCAAAATTCTGGCCTTCACCGAACACCACGGCGGACGCGCCCTTACCCTGGTAAGCGGCTTTATACAAAAAGTCCAGGATGCCTTCGAGCCTCGTCGACGAATGTATCTGAACATATTTACGTCTTCTTATAGAGTAAATTATAAATCGCTTTTAAGAAATTTAATTTATCTAATAAATTTATAATAAGATAGGATTTGTACATTTGTGAAAAACAAATTTCCAATGTCCCATAGTTTATGTAGGTCCTTGGTATCTTTAACTTTATCTTACTTTCTCTTTCACTAAATTACGTTGGAAATATTTTCCATAAATTTATAGCCACACGCATAGGCTATAGATATAAATTTGAAAATTAAACCTCTCTCTTTTTGTAGCTTAAGTAGGTCCATCCAATTGTTCATTGAATAAGTGTTCCTTACTTATGAGAAAAATGTAGATCTAAGTATTGGAACCAGAAATTTTTTCGAATAGCTATTTTCTTAGTAATATATTATAAGATACCTAAATATTAATCGCTTTGAAAAGTTTATTTGCAATTTATTTATTTAAACTACTTCTACATATTCATTAATAAGTTTTGTTTTTAGGATGGATTATATGAATGTATATTATGTGCATGCTGCAGTACGTCGTGTCCTTCTTATTGGTGGAACGGAGATAAATATCTTGGCCCTGCTGTGTTGATGCAGGTAAGTCTTTGCCATTTGATAAATGCATAAGTATTTTGCTATACCTGTATAAGTGATTTTCTAACATTTTCTCACAAGGAAAGTAACGTAAGTGTCCCTCGCCTATTTCAGTGTTTTTTTGATATGTCGTAGAACATTAAAAAATAAGCTACACATGTTTTTCTTATCTATGGAAAAAGCTTTTCAGGAAGATGAGACAGCCCCTCAAAATTTTAATCGACGAGGGGTGGTTTAAGCATTTTTAAAAAAATAACTTAATATTTTTTAACTAAACTCAGTGGAAAATTTGTGTTACGTAAAGGGATGAAAAATATCGATTTGTTGACAAGATGTTATCTATTTTTAAGTAAAATAAACAATTCGTTTATAAAAAAATATTTAAAGAAGTTAATTTTGAGTGAAAAAATATGAAAAAAATATGTTATACACAAATACTTATCTCAGTTGCCATACTTCTATATTTTTTCTAAATAGAATATTTCAAGGGTGTAACCACCTTTCGAATCTTTTACTATGTAACAGTACAAAATTGGGATTTTTTTCTGAAATAATAGCATACTTTAATAGTTTTTTGAAAAATAAGACACGCGTGTTTTTATCTATGGATTAACGATTTTTAGGTATGAAACAAACAGCTCGTCAAAGTTACGGGTGTCAAGAAATAGTTCCTTTAAAGGGAAAAACTATATTTTTCATCCAAACTAGCTAGAAAATCCATATTAAAAATAATGCTAGGATATGTCAATAGATCACAAAATTTGTTCTAGTTTCAAGCATAAACCAAAAATAAATTTAAAAAATTAATAAATTTAAAGTATTAATTTTGAAAAAAAATCTGGAAAAATATATGTTACCCAAACATATATATCTCATTGTCAGCTGACGTGTATTTGCATTTAACAAATTTTGTCAAGGGATAACCACCCCTCGTATATTTTATTACGTATCAGTAGAAAATTGGTATCTTTTTTCGAAATAATAGCATACTTTAACAGTTTTTGTTTATTGTGGCAGAAAATGTGGCAGACCGAAAATGTTTCTTACAATTTGTTAATCTTACACGTGTATTGGTGGGGAGTACTAACTGCGGTTTACAGCCAAACTCAAAAGAAAAATAGCTATTATATTACACAAAATCGCCATAAAAGACATGATTATCAATAAGAACTTTTATTTTAATAAAGACCATTTAGTTATTTGGGTTGGGTTATTGGGTTATTGGTTTTTGGATATTATTTTAATTATATTTATTATTATAAATGATATTTCGTCTTATTTGTCAATGTTCTATAATATATTCGAAAAAGACTAAAATTGACGAGAGACACCTGGGGTACCTTCCTTTCAGAGTACACTTAAATATCTATTTTCTTCAATATTTATTGTTTCCGAAAAAATATTCAGAAGAGTAAAATATTAATTAAACAATACAAATTTAAAAGATAGATTGAAAGATATACTTAAGAACAAATATGGTGAAAGTGACATTGTAACAAATACAATGTGAGAATATTCGAAAACATAAAAATACTATGCTATTTTTATGAGTAAATGATCATGAGCGAAGTAGAAGTGAATGAATACTTTGGAAGCCCATACATTTATGCATTTCATGGTTTTATGATTATAAATTAACCCATTAACGACCAAAATGCTCAATTTTTTTGTCGATTTTCAACGCGTTTTTTTCGGTAGTCATAGGCCTAAGAAATTTCTGCAAACACGTATTTGGATGGGAAATTTAACGCTCTTTCAGAATCTTTTTTCAAAATTGCGATTGATTGCGTTATAAAAAAGTTATAGCCAATTAAACAATAAAAACCTGAAAAATTTTGCGAAAAATCAAGTTTGCGATATTTTTTAGCAATGTTACCGCTAAAAAATCATCAAACAAATATGATCAGAGGTGATCACGACTATCAAAGTATCTCCAGAAATTTTGGTGGAATTTTTGAATCACTTCTTCCAACAAAATGGTGGCAAAATAAAAAAAAATCCATAAAAAACATTTCTCATTTTTTATCTCGGAAACCATTCAGTTTAGATAAAAAGTTCATTGAACAAAAAAGTCTTAGAATTAAACGAGAAATACGCCTGAATTTTTTCAGTATTTTCCGAGGAGATTTTTGAATTTTCGGAGAATACGGAAAATCCATTTTTCGAAAATCATCTCCAAAAATTCTGAAAAAATTCAGACATGTTCCTTGATGAATTCTAAGACTTTTTGTTCTATAAACTTTTCCTCTAAACTCAATAGTTTTCGAAATAAAAAGTTATTGGTTCTGTAATTTTGGTCTTATTCAAAAAATCACACCCAAGTATACAGTCGTCAGTAATGTCTGCAACAAAAACTGTCATCAAGATTGAATATTGACCCAAGTTAACGCGGACAATTGTTTTGAATTGGATAGGAACTTCTTCACCAGTGGGGTACCTCACACTCGAACCATCATAGAAAATTTTTATGATAATGAGGATCAACAAATCGAAGATTGACGATCGTCACGTCTGAACCTGTATCTAATTTAAAAACGCATAACTGTCTGTCAATACTACCCTTAAACTTAAAAGTCTTCAAATTTCCAAGAACTCTACGAACGCGCATATTTGACAAATCAGGTCCAGCAACATTATTGGAAGGAGCTTGTTCACTAAATGTCAAACCCGCTCCTGAAAGTTCGACACACCCTAGTTTCCCTGCTCCGGGTATCGAGAGCGTGTATGTCCTTTTTTATGACAATGATAGCATTCAATATTCTTCAACCATTCTCGAGGATCTAATGGTTGACTCTATTTGCCATTATCTATACTATTTACTTCATTTTGAAATTTATCTTCTTAAGAACTTGGGTTATTCTGGAAATTTCGCGCATTTCGAAAGACGGGAATCTTGTTTCTTTCTTTGATCGATTTCACTTCTAGAGCACGAGCTAAAGCTATTTTCAAAGAAATTATACGCTCTAATTGAAGAACTTCTCTAACTCCAGTATGATAGATACCTATAATAAATTGAGCACAAGCAATTTTGTCGCGAATCTCTAATGAACATTCAGGATAAGCTAACGATGCCAGTTTCTCGATATCAGCAGCTAATGTTGGAAGATCTTCGCCTATTTTCTGTCTTCTATTTTGAAACAAGAAATAACTACTTGATTCTAAATGTTCACCGAATCGTGCTTCTAGTTTCCCCAATAATGATTTCAAATCCAAAACTTCCATATCGGTAAAGCTACTCAATACACCTTTTGCCTTATCACGCAACGAAGCTGCTAATGCTATCATTTTCTTTTCATCACTACACCCGTTAGCTCTTGCAATCAAATTAAATTGATTTAAGTATTCACATAGAGGAGTTGTGCCATCATAAGTGTCAGGTTTGAAGTTATAGCCTAACCCTACTTCAATTGATTCGGCTGAGTTTACAATAGGTGTATTCATCTCCCTATTATCTAACCTTATCTGTTGTGTACACGTGTTACTTGTATTCGCTGTATTTGTTATTGGTGTAATTTGTGTAGTAAGGTAGGAAGAGGAACTCATCTGGTTTCGTTGTTGACGGAACTGGGTCAGTTGTTGTTCAAGAAGACATTGTTGCGACTGTAGATTCTCAATGGTTCGATGACGATCAACAACAGTAGCATCTAGACGAAGCTCCGTCGTAACGTTCTGCTCTTCGACGCTGCGATGTTGTAACCTTTCTTCCAATTGTCCACGATATGCTCGCTCGGCCTCTCGTTCGGTTTGCATAACCTCCAGTTGTCTTCGGTACTTATCGAGTTCAACCCTTGCATCGTTGAGTGCTAACAGCGCTTCTTGGAGAGTAGCTTGTGGCAACGGGATATCGGTCACCGTAGGCACGAGGACGGGTTCAGTCACCGCCCGCAACTCATTGGTCAGCGCACCCGAGGCATCTGCGACCGTCGGCGGCGTTGGCAAAACGTCCGCAATCACTACCCGGACATTGTTCCCTGAGCGCTAGCCGTCAGCCGTCGAGTCGTCACCTGAATCAACATGAGCAGCTTTAGTATTAGTGTGAGCAACAGTACCTGTATTTTTAGTAGGTCTTGTTTGTTTTTCCGGTCGATGTTTAATAGGAGCAGCGGTATCATTGTTAACAAGTACAACGTCGGCCATAGCAGCAATCTCGGCACTGGTAATAGCAACTGCAGCGGCCTGTTCCTCCGCGGCAATTTGTGCTCTTGTTTTTGTCTGGAATGGTACATGCGTTGGTGTGCGCGGCGTTTTTCCTGACATCTCGAAATCCCGGAGGGGTCCCCAAAATGTTACACTCACACGTACACTCACACAAAATAACAATAACTTTGTTATAAAAAGAACGAGAACGTATTTATTTAAATAACCACAAATATATGTTTTTCATCTCAACACAAAAACACAACTGAGAAAACAAAATCAAGCAAAACGAACAAAACTAATAAATCGCTTAGCAACGTATTTCGTTCGAAATCAGAGGAGAATACATAACAATACTTTATACTCAATATAGTGTCACTAGAATTTTGAACGTGCCTATTTTCAAATATTTTTAAGAGTCTTAAATAATTTATTGTTAGCGGGAAATTCGTGTATAAAAAAGATTTTTATGTGGCACACTGAGTTTGGCTATATATAAAATAAAATAAAATAGTTTTACGTCGAGGAATTCAATGTAATTAATACTAACTTCATGCCGTCCAAACGTTATTGTAATAAATTTGTATTAGAGCATGGCATTTGCTGAACTAACTTCCACACTCATCGAAAGTTTTCAAGTTAATAAGTTATTTAATTTACTCTGATGGGTGTTATCGTCATCATCGGGTGGGTCTCAGCCTTCAAAGTAATTCCGACTTGATTGAACATGGTACCACCGATATTTCCACTTCTCGAAACAGACCTGAAACTCACTTTTAGGGATGTCCTTGAGTACACTCATTACGTCATTTTCAACTGTCATTGTTTCATTGAATTACTATCCTTTGAGTGTTTTTTTTTTTTTT